AGAAAGAAAGAAAGAAAGAAAGAAAGAAAGAAAGAAAGAAAGAAAGAAAGAAAGAAAGAGAAAAGAAAAGAAAAGGAGGGAGAAAGGAATTCTTGGCCACCAAATGTTGCATTTTCACCCCATCCCGTAGGCTCTGGGGTGCCCCCCAGGGCTTCAGGGGAGGGTGGCCCAGGGTGTCCTTACCTGGTTTCCGTGGATACGGGCCGGGGGTGGCCTTTGCAGGCCTGGTGGTTCTCTCCGGTGGGGAATCAAAGTAATCCGACAGATCGAGTTCGCCTGCTTGAGAAACCGAGGGAGATCGTCAGAAGGGGTACCTGCTGCAGCTCTGAAGGGGAAGAGCGGATGCCCTCACTGCTTCCCTTTAAGATGCCTGGGACACTGTGCTGGGCAGGGTGTGTGTGTGTGTGTGTGTGTGAACAGCACCACTGCAATGAAATCCCCCCCCTTTTGTTTCTATCTGCACCTCGACATCATTCGCACACCCCAAACGGGCAGAGTTGGCAGGCAACGCCACAACTCTCCAGAGTGCTGCCGTGGGATTGTTCCATTTTATCTTCCCAACACCCCTCCCAGGTAGGCCACTGTCAGGATTACAAAAGGCCAACATCCCATTAAAAGACAAAGATGGAGGATACTCCCCCCCCCAAATGAAACGCTCAGCCTGTACAGGCAAGTCCCTTGACTTAACAGCAGTTCATTTAGTGACCGTTCAAAGTTACGATGACACTGAAAACAGGGGCTTCTGACCATTTTTCACACTTTACGACCTTTGCAGCCTTCCCTGTAGTTCACATGATCAAAATTCAGACGCCTGGCAACCGACTCAGATTTATGACGGTCGCAGGTGTCCCAGCGTCTTGTGATCCCCTTTTGCGACCGACAGTCAAGCAAACTCAATGGGGGAGCCGGATCCACTTAACAACCCTGTTATTAACCTAATAACTATGGCCCAAAAAAAAAAGGGTGCAAAATGGGGCAAAATTCACTTAACAAAAGTCTCACTTAGCAACAGAAATTTTGGGCTCCGTTGTAGCCATAAGTAGAGGACTACTTGTTATTTGCAACTTGCTTAATTGCTCTTTGGCAAGAAAGAAAGGGGGTTTAAAAAAAACCCCCAGCAAATTTACCCTAGCTTGCTTTAAAGCCGACAGTCACGATGGCTGGGGGATGATGGGACTTGTAGTTGATTTAAAGAATTAAGAAAACGAAAATCTCACCTGTGCCACCTGAAGGCTTCCTGGGCGGCTTGTGAGTAGCTGGGGAAGATAAAAAAACAGAATAAATGACATTTTTGTTCTATGGAGAGGCCAACCAGCCTGAGCTGACACTGCACTCTTAGCTGGGTTTACTCATAAAGTAAGACATACACAACCTCAGCGTGGCTACCTCTATAAAGTGTTTAGAGCAGGGCCATCTTGGAAACAAGGAATCAAAGCTGATGCTATTAAAAATTTAAAGTTTAAATTAAATTTAAGTTTCTAACATTGGGTGTTTGTGGAAGGAGAATGGTGAGTTTCCATGTCATCTGAAGCTCTAACTCTGGTTTTTTTTGCTAGTTCGGCTTCTGGTTTCGTAAGAGGATTTAAACCGTGGTGATTTCTAAACCTTGGTTTATGCTTCAGCACAAACAAGCTGAATTTGCAGGATTAAACGTGCCCCAAACCCGTGGTCTGAAACCCCGCCCCGAAAGCCCCCTTCTGGCACAGTTCCAGGCCACCTGGTTTCAGGAATCAAAACACAACACACAATTCAAGTTGCATTCATGTCAGCGACTGGGAAACCCTTTATGGACTTTTTGCTGAAAATGGGAAAAATGAAGTTACGGTTTACAGATTTGGCGATTAGGAAGGGTAGAATAAGGAAAGACCGCAAGCGAGGGGATGAAATATACATGCATTTATAACCAATTCATACACTGAGAGCTGCTCCTTTATATCTTTCCTTTTTCTTTTCTTTATTACCATTTACTTATCACTTTACTTGTCTTTTTTCTTCATACTTGTATTGTTTTTAACTCTAAAAATCCGCTCATTCTTTAAAAATGTTTTTCGTTGCATCCTTATGAAAAGGGACTTTTTTTTAAAAAAGGGGGGGAGGATCCAAATCCTTCCCCTGCCCATCCTGGCATATTCAGGCTCCGCCCAGATATCAAATAGCCCCACCCACTTTGCACTGCGGTCCCGCCCACCCTGTCTCTTGCCTTATCAAAGGACAGGACTTCCAGCCATATGGCTTATCCCTTATCCGTCACGATTTTAAAAAGAACATAGCTTAATCTCGACAGACAAATCCAAGTGATGGAGCAGCGAGTAAATCTCTATTTCTAGGCCCCTCCGGTGGAAATTCCAGAACAAGCTTTAAGACATTGGATAGATAGATAGATAGATAGATAGATAGATAGATAGATAGATAGATAGATAGATAGATAGATAGATAGATAGATAGATAGATAGATAGATTAGATAGATAGATTAGATAGATTTTGCTTTACTGCAAAAAAAAAAGAGAATAAATAAAACGACTTTATACAGATCTCGGAAACAGCAAGTCTGGGGCATGTCCAATTTGATAATATATTTTCAAGCTGCCCAGTTAGGACATATGATTCCATTCATTAGGGAAGACTCCCTGCTTTAGACTTTGCTTTTGTAATATTTTTTTTATCTAAACGCTTCTTTTTCAGTTTGGCCTTTTCCTTTTTTTTTTTTTAAACTGTAATTGAGGGAACTGGGCTTGCCGACAAACCCTTCCGATTACTAATAATTTTTTAAAAAAGGTAAAGGAGTCCGCTGCGGATTTTACTCCGCTAGTCGTTGCCGACTTTAAGGGCTGGTGCTCATCCCCATTTCAAGGCCATTGAGCCAGCCCTGCCCCAAGACATTTCCGCGATCACGTGACCAGCATGACGTCACAGAGCGCTGATGTCTTCCCACCACAGTGGTACCTATGTATCTACTCGCATTTGCATGCTTTCAAACTTGCTAGTTTGGTAGGAGCTGAGGCGAGGATGGGAGCTCACTCCGTCCGCGTGGAGCTGAGGTCTCGAACCTGGGCTGCCGGCTTTCCAGCCGACAAGCCCATCTCTTAACTGCTGACCCACCGCACCACCCCCTCCGATTCCTAATCTACAGCCAATATTCCCTCTGCCCACAATATCCACACATGGAGCAACTGGGGCCATACTTACGCCTCTTTGTGGGGAGGATATCCTCCAGTGCGTCTGATAAATCAAAGTCGGAGTCATCGGCGTATCCTGGGGACCAAAACAGACAAACCAACCGATGAGTAAGGTTCTCCTAAACAGCTATTCAACTGATGAGTAAGGTTCTCCTAAACAGCTATTCAACAGGGAACTTTCTGAAAGGTTTCCATTTGGTGCCAGATGAGAACACAAACAGAAGGCCACATCCTCAAATGACAGATAGTCCTCCGCTTACCGCCACAGTTGAGTACAAAATTTTATGCCGCTAAGCGAGACAGTTATTGTGAATTGTGCCCCATTTTACCACCTCTCTCGTCACAGTTGCTAAGTGAATCACTGCAGTTATTAAGTTAGTAACACGGTTGTTAAGTGAATCTGGCTTCCCCATTGACTTGGCTTGTCAGAAGGTCGCAAAAGGGGATGACGTGACCCTAGGACACTGAAACCGTCCTAGGTACATGTCAGTTGCCAAGCGTCTGAATTTTGATCGCGTGACCCTGGGGATGCTGCGACGGTGGTCAGTATGAAAAGCGCTCGTAAGTCATTTTTTTCAGTGCCGCTATAACTTCAAAAGGTCGGTAAATGAATTGTTGTGAAGTCGAGGACCCCCCGTACAATTCTTCGTAATAACAGGAATTAAAAAAAAAAAACAACCTAGCTGAACAAAATGAAGGTTGCATTTATATAGCCCTACAAGATCCCTTCCCTCTTGACTTTTCTCTTCGAATAAGGACCACCAAACCATTCTAGCCCAAAGTGATGCAATTAAAAGCATGCTTCTTCATGCAAGACGATGAAATGCTTGCAATGAGCTATTGTCAAGGGAACACAAATGACCCTTCAGACAGAGGCCCTGGCCTACCAGCCTTCAAAGTTTGGCTTCAGCTTCCAAGCTTCCCTGCGTTCCTGACTGAGGAATTCTGGGAGTTGAAGTCCACAAGTCATAAAAGGGCCAAGTTTGAAGACCCCTGTTCGACATTCTCCTCCTTGGGGCTAGTTTAGCTGTTCTGAAATTGTGTATGTAAAGGTAGAAGATGCTAAGGAGATTCCAAGGTGTCTAAAAACCTATCTAGCATCTCTTCGTGTTCAACTCTATAATCCATATTTCCCATCCTCAGCAACTTTAGGATATTTGGACTTCAACTCCTTGAATTCTCCAGCCAAAATACTGTTAGGGCCTCATTACATCTGGAAGGAATCAAGTTGGTTTGTTTCAACCATAGTTGGTTGAATAAAGAATAAACACAAAGTGGAACACATTGAACTGTAACTATAACCACATTTTTGGGGGGGGGGGGCATACAACGTATCAATAAAAGCCAGACAAGATAAATTATGACTTAGCACAGGTGGGCACCCAGCCAACTTGTCTTGTGCCTAAGAGAGTGGTGTTTAATACCATTTGCTGGCTAACAGAAGCTGGAGGAAGATGTAAATCCTTGGGTCCTGTTTATAAGCTTCTCCTAACGCCTGTTTGGCTGTGTCCAACCAGATCCCATTCTTCACTATCACTCTATAGCTGCAGGCCCTGATTCCGTACCCTTGTTTTGATATCAGCAAGAGAGCAAGAGAAAAACAAGGGGTTCCTCGGAGCTTCTGTCCTAGATGCATTTTTAGAAGCCACAATGACATCCCTAGTGTTGTGATATCGTCACAGAAACAATGCAATGATGGAATTTGCATCAGGGAGGAGGAGGAGGAGGAGGAGGAGGAGCTGGTGGTCTTACAGCATGGCTTCTAAAGGATGCTTATGACCCAGCATAGGTCAAAAAATATTTCTGACAAGTTTAATTGAGTTTAAAGGGACAAAGTCTAAATGGCACAAAGTCACTGTTTATTTACGCTTACGACATACTCCCACTGGAACTTAGCTGTGGTTTTGTTTTTCCCAAAACAACCCAGTGAGTCACAAACCTGGGATAAAAAGGTTACCTTCGCATACCATTTTAAAACCCAGTAGAAATCGACCGTTTTAACAGCCACACCGCCTTCCCTAAGGAACCCCAGCATTGCAAAACAATCAATCCGAGCCCCCAAACCTAACCCGGTCCCCCAAATGCTCAATCCACATGTTTTACTCAAAAGATCAAAGCAGCTTGGGCAACTTACTCCCCCAGTGCTAGGCCGCCTTACCCGACGCACTCAAGTTTTAATTAAATGTAAATTGGAGTCTAATTTAAGTTTCTGTCCTACTTTCATCCCTGCCATTGTCCCAAGTCATGCCATCAAAAGCGTGAATGTGACCTCCACCGGAAAAAACAAAACACCACACGTCCCTAACTGTATTTTAACACTGTAACAAAAGAGAGAGATACAGAGTATTTTCCCATATAATGTTTAGAGAGGAGAAATTTACTTACAAGTTACTCACTTACAATGCAGTCAAGTCAAGTAACTGTATTTTAACACTGTAACAAAAGAGAGAGATACAGAGTATTTTCCCATATAATGTTTAGAGAGGAGAAATTTACTTACAAATTACTCACTTACAATGCAGTCAAGTCAAGTAACGTTTTGAAGAAAGGATGTTTTTTTTTCATTAGGGGTTTTTTTTTCCTCCCCCAACCACACTAGGTTTGAGACTAAGGAGACATGGAGCTTTTATCTCGAGGTCAGCTTGCATCAAAGAAACAAAGGAGGACTTCAGAACAATGCATAAATGCCCTTCATCAACAGGCATTTTCATTTGAATAGTTGCATTGTTTTGCGGAGCACTCAGCACAGCGCCAACAGACCCCATTGAGAACCACCTGTGTAGCACATTGAGTGCAGTTGGACCAGAGGTGACCACTACCAGGTATGATCTCATTAATCATTTTATATTTTCTGTGTGGTTTTCTTGGTTTTTTTTTTTTTTAAGTTTACCATTTTCTTCTCCTATTCAGTTTTACTTGATGCCCTAGGACAGGCAGAGCTGGGAGGCGGAGTTAAACAAGTCACCAGCCTAGAGTCGTTACATTGCCATAAACGGTCCACGTCCTCTTGAATTCCATTGGCTCTTAGCTGGTGCCAATTTAGTGTTGAACGTTAGTTGAGTAGACTCTTGTGCATAAGCCTGAACAGCCTATCTTCTGAATTGTAAATTAATGTGTGGTCCTGATTCTTTGCGTCTGACGATGCCACGGTCACTAAAGTGGTTCTCTGCCCGCAGCTTCTCCCCTAGATCTTTGCTGCCCAACATACAAGGCCTGTTTAGTTGACCTGGGCAGATGGGATGACCTTACACCTCGGGTGACCCTACTGAGAACATATTCTCTTGGCATACCATCCCAACATTCTTCGCTCATCCTTCTTTGGAACCAATGGTGAGATGACCTGGAGTGGGGTGGAAGCTGCCCTCCTGTATTGCTATAAATACAAATGTAGATTGGAATTAATTCAGCTCCTGGCTGTGTGGCTGGAAAAGGCTGACTCCTGCTGTGAATGGACAGAAGCCTTAAGCCTTAATTAATGAAAACAACAACTTATCCTTCTGCCCTCTGGCTGAACTGTGATTGAGGAATTAAGTTTAACAATGAAATGGGGTACTCCAATTTTGCGAGTACAAAAGAGAAAGGCACCCCCCCCCCACACACACACATCCTATCACCACCCATCCCTTTTCCTGTATCTGAACTTCTCTCCGACATAAATATTCTTCTCCGGGTGTCTCTACGCACGTTAAAAGTGGCAACATTTATCTGGTTAATTTCTGAAAATGGTTTTTACTGGACAAAAGATTTAGGGTGAAAAAAAAACCACACACACACAAAGAGAAAAACACAAATGGAGAAGATTTAGGTCAAGCCATGGGATTATGTCTCCCATGTAGGGATGAACAGCCTTTTTCTCTTTCTTTTTTAATTTCAATTAAAAAATGGACGGGGCATGTTTGGCTTTAGTAGAGTTTTACAAACGATGGTTGAATCACACATTCATTTGTTAGGTTTATCTTCTCGCGTTCTCAGGAGCCAAAGACACCATAAGTGACATCTATTTTTCTCACAATCCAGTGAGGTAGGATGGGCTGGTCAATAATGACTGATCCAGAATCCTGTTGTCTTCTTCCATAGCTGTGGGTTTCCTTGGTTCTTCTCAATATTTTAACCTCTACTAACATAGTGTTGGAAGAAAAGTCTTCATTATGGTTCAATGGTTCAATCCAAGCCGGGGATAAACAACATGGTGACTGCTTTAGAAAGAAGGTTGTAGTTTATTGAAGAGGAGAGCCAGACAGAAAGATGGCTCTGGCAGAAAAGAGAGAAAAAAAGGGCTGAGCACATGTGGGGAGTGGGTTTTTATACCCTCTGGAGCCTTTTGTTTGGAGTTGCTTCCTGTTCCTATTTTGAGGCTTTGTATTTCCTGTGTCATGTATTTTGACCTGTGTCTGGGTGTGCCCTTTGGCATCTGTGGGTTAATCCTTTTATGTCCTGTCTTAGACTTTGGGTGGGGTATGTAGATTTTAGGTGTCTTTGTCTTCTTGATCTTCTAGCTGGGGACCTTCAACCTTCCTGAATGGATTATCACATCTGCATTTCTACAGAACTGGCTTCTGCTTGGGGGAGAGAGACCTGGGGCTATTAAGTAAAACTGGGCATGCTTTTCTGTCTCTTTAAGGTCCTTTGAGGAAATATATTTTTCTGTCCTTTTAATATTTCCTTCTCTGGGGGGGTGACTTCCCACAATAGCTACCATGTTGTGTAAAATCAGATTCATTCAGTTGGTCAGCGTACAAAAAAATTATGAAGACAAACACACGCCATGCTTCTGCAAATGGTGGTGGTTCTATAATCAGGCGTCACCACCACCAAGTAGGTCCTGTTCTGAATCGAAGCCTCTAAACCAGGTTTCCTTTTGATCTCCACGTCTCCCAAGAGATGAGATGTGCCAAACTCTTGATAAATATCTCTTGAACATCCTCTGTCCAGTCACAAAACTAGAACCACAAGGCTGATGATGACAGCAGACAAAAGAGGATTTACAATATCATTGAACAAAACACATCCAAATGGAATGTGACAGCCTAGTATTGTTTAAGACCTTATAAGCTAATCTCCCCAATTGCTTTCGTAGCAAATTAGGTGGCCCAGGGCTTCTACAAGAATTGTGTAATAGTTTATTTCAGTTGAATGGCGAGTTTCAAACACATTGTATTTCTTTTTGTTTCCACCCCTCCTGGAAAGCTGGCTACTAAAAAAAAAAGACTTAAAAAAAGCAACAAATTAAAAGCAAACAACAGAACAATTGTTGGGATAAAATATAAGAGAATAGTGTTTGGTGAATTGTAAGATCAAATGCAAGGCAAAATAGCAGGATCCTGGAAAACCATCAGGGGCAAGATTAGGCAATTCCATAGACAGCTGGAATTTTTTTTGTCTACTTCAGTTGTTTGGACTATTCTGTATACGGTACAGTAAACACCCCAGACATAAAATGACAGCAGTAAAGAAATGAAATATGAATTCTTCCTCCTCCTCTGTTTGGTCTTCTTCTTGGTCTTGATCTTGGTCATGGTCTCCTCCTCCTCGTCTCCTTCCTTCCTTCCTTCCTTCCTTCCTTCCTTCCTTCCTTCCTTCACCATACATTCCTGTGTACATTACCATTGTCCAAAATATTGGAGACATGGTACCCTAGCTGAGAAGTTAGACCAGCCAATAATCAATCCCTTTTCACTGGTCAATTCTTTTTCAATCGTAACAAGCTCTTCCTTTAAATCATTATTTTTTTTAAATATATATATATATATATATATATATATATATATATATATATTTATATATATATATATATATATATATATATATATATATATATATATATATATATATATATATATATATATATATATATATATATATATATATATATATATATATATATATATATATATATTACCTATGCAGTTCTTCCTTTTATGTGGCAATTCCTCCACCTCTCACCTCCCCACCCCCCATTTCCAAAACCAAAGGAATGCTTTGATTGTTCCCTGGAGAAGCTATTTCCCCCTTCCTTCTTCCCTCGGGGCATCTGACATTCTCCCCACCTTCCTGTTCTCCCCACCCAAAAAATAAATTCACCCACTTGTGTTCTTGCTGCAATCCTGACCCTCCTTTTATTGAGAACGTGAACCTGGTTGCATCCTTAGGAAGGAGGATTCCTAGCATGGCCACCTTAACCTGGATAAATGAACGTTCTGTCCGGGTGTACATCAAGAAGGAGCAGCCAACAGACAGGGATAGAGAAGGGGGTGTGACCCGCTAAGAGAAACCACAGATTTGCTCCTTCCAGGCTGCAATTTTGCCCCAGCGGCTGACGCACATGGCTCCCCAGAAGGACTGCAGGATAAGCCAGGTTTTTCTCCCCCCCCACACACACACAAATTTCCAAGTCTATTCTTCCCACAATGGCCAACCTCTCTGCTTCCACCACTCCTGCAAGAAAAGGACCCCTCCTATTCAAGAGAGCAGAAATCTCCCTTTCCCCAGCCAGGAAACACCAGTCCAAAGGGATTTTCCCAGCCCTTAAAGCAAGCACCCGAACCCCAAAACCCGGTTCTATTCTCTTTGCCACAGAAAAGGAGCCCCAAATCGGTGCCATTTTCTCTGGAGGAACCTTCCCCACCACCCCAAGCTAGGGGGGACCCGGGGACCCGCCCCCCCACCTCCCGCCAAGCTCTGGAAGGCTTTTTCTATTGTTCTCCTGTAAGGTTTCCGTGGAAAGACAAAATACTGCAGGGTCGCCCTCCTTGGCAAGGATGAGAGCAGAAGGCTGGTTTTATTTTGCAAAAACGCTAAGCCGGGTGTGTGTG